CCAACTCTCACCTGGTCTCTATCACACTGCCCTCTTCAGGGCCACACTCATACCACCAGCACCCTACTCATAGAGTTCCTCGGGCTTCACTCTCCACCCTTTGGTCAGCCCTGGCGCAGTCTTTTGGACCTCTCCTGTGGTCCTCACCTGAATGGGACTGAGCGATTCACCAAAACACCAAGACAACTCTGCCCCTAGTCTCATGCCTGGTATTACACTCCAGCTGTTCCCAATCAGGGTCTGATGACTCACCCCTTTTCTTACTGGCAGCTCCCACTCTGCTGCTTCTATTGGTCTTAGGCCCACTTGTAGCCTCAGGCTCCCTACGGCTTACCTGGACCATGCTGGTCCTTCTCTGCAGGGCCTCAACTTTTTCGCCCCTGATCTCAGAGCCTCGACTTCCTCACCCCAGCACCCAGGCCCCTCATCTGGAGGCACACACCAGACCTATCTCCCTTGGCCTAGCACCCAGCCTTCTGTCTGGAGGCACACACTGGGCCTACCAACTCTCACCCCTCTTCTTACTCCTTCCTGGAACTCACAGGGTCTTCACCCAGACGGCTCAGGTGCCCCTTGCCCAGGTGTGCCTGGCCCCTACTACCCTCACTACAGGGTCTTACACCCCACTGGGCTCAGGTGCCCCTCATGGGTGTGCCTGGCCCCATTACCCACTGTCTGGGGTCTTGTACCCGTTGGGCTCAGTGGCCGTAACTGCCTGGCCTTGTCTTTCTGTCCGATGTTAAGTGACCCACCCAAAGGCGGGGCCTGTGGTTATTAAAGCACCCCTATCCGCCTTTCACTGGGGAGGTGAGCAGTCCTGGTATTTGAAAGGGGCTGCCGCACCAGCAACAGTCCTACCAGCCCTTCCTTCCCCAGCAGGGTGAAGTTTTAGGTCGTGCCCAGGACCAGGAGCCTCCTTGCCAACCCCCTAGCTCCTGCCCTTACCTCCAGGTTGTCCCCAGAGCAGCAGCTCTGCTGGGAGATGGCAATTCCACAGCATCAAGCAGCAACTGCTACCTCCAGCCCTGCTGGCCTAGGACTTAAAATGGATGCTCATCAGGGCTGTGCTGCACCTGCCTGCTGCCTGAACTAGGTCTTAAAGTGGCAGAACACTTTAGGTGCTCTGGCACCCACATTCCCCCTTAAAATACTTACCAAAGAAGGCTTTTCCTTGCTGCTCCCCCCAAACAGGCTCCCCTAGAGCCTGTGATAGCCCTTCAGTGATGCGCACCTCACTGGTGCTCTGCCACACTTCCTCTAATTATATCAGTTAAATGGTTAATCAATAGCACTTACCTAGTTTAGTGACCTCTGGCAGGAAAGGCCCCAGCCCTGGGCCCAGCCCCTTATGTCTTCACCATGTGCCTGGTGCTGCACAGGTTTTAGACTGCTGGTGGGGAACAATGGGCAGGGGGCGTGGCACTGCCCAACTGTGGAGCCTGTCTTCCCCTCACCCCCACAGGCAGGAGCTGGAGCTGCAGATGGAGCTAGGACTGCAGACCTGTCCTGTGGCCAGATCCTGCCACCACAGGGAGAGAGGGAAGTGCTGTGCCCTTCTACAGAGCTCTGGTGGGGCCTTTCTGCTGCAGCAGTGAGACTCTCAGCCCTGTGGTGGGTCTGCCTAGCCCCTCCTGCAGTGATGGGTCTTGGGCAGGGCAATGGGCTCCTGTGTCTCCCACTGTGCTTGTGCTGCCAGAAGGCTCTTCTGTGTTTTAAGCCAGGCCCCCCTTAGCCAATCCTGGTGGAAGGAGGGGTCTGGTCCCAGCTGGGTAGCCTTCACTGGGTACACAGCATCCTTCCCCCTCCTACCAGTGGCACTGGTGCCATGCAGGGCCTGGCCCAGCCCTGAAGCAGGGCTGTGTGCATAGCTGATTCGGCCCAGGAAGATGCCACAACAGCAAACTCTGAATACATTCACACAAACCCCTCTGCAATGGCAGAATTCTCTGCTCTACCAAAAGTGTTACTCCTCCTGTGCCAAGTGCAGTAAGGCCCCTGCCACCTTGTCACATTCAATAGCTGGAGCCTTTTCAGAGTGCACTGCATGCTTTGGCAGCATAGCTGCTCAGTAGAAGCACCAGAAACATATAGAATGTATGTGCTATGATGGCTGCTACCTGGTGGCAGAAGTAGTGAATGTAGAGTAGAACCTAAAAGTATGCCTATAACTTTTATCTGTTGTTTAAACCTGAAGTCCAAAAAAATAGCTGTAGAAAGAACATGAGATACTCTTAATTTTTGAGGGGTGGTACAGCAGGGATTCTGGGAGGTGAACTAGGGCACAGTTACGGCCACTGAGCCCAACGGGTACAAGACCCCAGACAGTGGGTAATGGGGCCAGGCACACCCATGAGGGGCACCTGAGCCCAGTGGGGTGTAAGACCCTGTAGTGAGGGTAGTAGGGGCCAGGCACACCTGGGCAAGGGGCACCTGAGCCGTCTGGGTGAAGACCCTGTGAGTTCCAGGAAGGAGTAAGAAGAGGGGTGAGAGTTGGTAGGCCCAGTGTGTGCCTCCAGACAGAAGGCTGGGTGCTAGGCCAAGGGAGATAGGTCTGGTGTGTGCCTCCAGATGAGGGGCCTGGGTGCTGGGGTGAGGAAGTCGAGGCTCTGAGATCAGGGGCGAAAAAGTTGAGGCCCTGCAGAGAAGGACCAGCATGGTCCAGGTAAGCCGTAGGGAGCCTGAGGCTACAAGTGGGCCTAAGACCAATAGAAGCAGCAGAGTGGGAGCTGCCAGTAAGAAAAGGGGTGAGTCATCAGACCCTGATTGGGAACAGCTGGAGTGTAATACCAGGCATGAGACTAGGGGCAGAGTTGTCTTGGTGTTTTGGTGAATCGCTCAGTCCCATTCAGGTGAGGACCACAGGAGAGGTCCAAAAGACTGCGCCAGGGCTGACCAAAGGGTGGAGAGTGAAGCCCGAGGAACTCTATGAGTAGGGTGCTGGTGGTATGAGTGTGGCCCTGAAGAGGGCAGTGTGATAGAGACCAGGTGAGAGTTGGCAGAGTGAGAGAGGGGTGTTGTGTGTGGCCTGTAACAGGGCAGAATAGAAGAGGCTCAACACTGTACTGAGTTGGACCTGGACTCAGGCTGGGACGCTGCGCAGCCGTGAGAACCGTCAGTGTGGCATGGGACACATAGGGGAGACTGGAGCATGTATTTTGGCCCTCAAACATCAGGGCCCTCAAAGGGCAGTCTCCCATCTATGTAACAACATAATTAAGATACAGTAAGGCATGGCAGGAGAGATAGGTGGGCTGGGTACCCAGAGACAGGTGGAAGACCAGTAGCACTGTGACAGGTGGGAACTCCCTCACCAGTCACAGGAAGTTAAACAGATCATTTTTTTTTCAACAATATTTACACAAGTAGGTTCCACATTACCAACCTCAGCAAAATACTACTAGCAGCTCACCTGCTGCTGCAGGCACAAGCTACAGCGCTCAGCCAACAGCTATGGTTGAGTGAATTAACACAGGAGCCTGCAATCTTGGTATGCATGGTTCTCCAGGCTTGCTTCTTTTTCAGCAAAGAAAACAGCTTCCCCACTTAAAATACGCATGCCAATTTTGGAAGGAAAGTTGCACAGTGTATGTGAAAAAATAAGGCATTTAACCTCCCTTCAACCATCATCCTTCTCTCATATAGGATTTGTCAATGGATGTAGAGCAGCTAAATAAGATCTTGTTATATTTTCAAGGCTAACCAGATTACCCCAACAGACATTACCATGCCAGTGACTGTTCCTTGCCAAGTCTTGTACAGCTTGCAGTCTAACCATTTTGTCCTCTGATTGACTTCTCTTCAGGAGCAGCCATAAGGCACATTCATGCTCTTCTGCATCAAATGTACTAAAGTGTTCTTTACAAAAACATACCACACAAAAATAATTCTGTTAACAATATCAGAAAACATTTCTTACATTTTTATTTAAATAATAATAAAATTGATAACTATGTATAGAATAATAAATAATTTTAAAAATTTTAAAGTAACAATCTTCCAAAGGTCCTAGATAAAATGCTTGCCATATTGAAATCAAGAGTAGTTCCTCTGTTAATTTTAATGGTGCCTTGATTTCAATCCTTGTGTACAGATTTTGTACTTACATGGCATCTTTAATTTGAAGATCTCAAAATGCTTTATCAATATTATAGACTAGATCTTGAATGGGGTTTACCAACCATAACTGACATCAGCTTCGGTGGAAGATGGAAGTGACCTCAATCAATTAAGTCACAGCACTTTGTAAGGTACACATTACTATATCCATTCATCAGATGGGTAAATTAAAGCAGATAGACCGCTACTTGCCCAAGATGTGACCTCAGATGGAGGGCACTAAACTCCTAAGTACTGACTCTGAGACAACATTTGTGTCACTTTCAGTTGTAATCAGTAATCCTGCTGCAAAGTGTCACACACTTGCACCTAACTCCTAAAATGAACAAGTTTACAGGACTTCATATCCCAGTCCTGCTTTTGGCATCAGATAACTTAAGCTTCAATTCAAATCTCTACCGAAAAAATAAATTTTAACCAGTATTTTTCTAATGGAAAGCCTTTTGCCTTCTATTTTAACAAATTGTTTGTAAAAGTGACATGGAACACTATTAAATCACATTCCTACTAGTGCTGTGAAACATGTAAAAGTATGTAACTGTAAAACAGTACCTAGGTATACAAGAAAGAGGTTTCTACTTTCAAAGAATAATAGATCTGTACTTTGCTATGAAATTAATATTAATCTCAGACAACCCAACATTTCCATTATTTTAGTACCTACCATTAAAAGGTCTCCGGAGAATTTTAGCTTCAGCTTCTAATACTTTCCTCACTGCTTTATGAAGTTCTTTTCTTGCCTGGTATGTGATTCCTAGGAAAGTATTTAGACGTATTCAATGCTAGTAAAAAAATTCTTACAGAATTACACCCTGAAGCTAACAATTGTAATGATAAAGGAATAAATGATGTAAAAAATTCTCCATTAGTAACTGCTGCTTAAAAAATAATCATCCATTTTATTCTTATTGGTGTTCTCACACCTCAGGGAATCGTATTTGTTTTTTAGGTAGGTGTGACTCTGTGTGTGTATTGTATACAGAAAGGAAAAACAGACCTTAGGTAATTTTCATAAGCTAGAAATGTGGCTTTCAGTCTGTGCCTGGGGTTTAAAATTAACCAACCTTCATGAAGCCATAAATTTAAGTTGGATTACGGCTAAACTTAGCCTTTTATCCTTTCAAGGTAGACAAATAAGAGAATTCAGTTCTCACGGTTCTCATCTGAAATATACACATGCAATAAAATTCTTATCTGTTCTGCTTGGACAATAATGGTCTTGCGGCAATAAAGCAGGAGTCTGTAATGCAAATGTCTCTATGCCACCTCAGGCATAATGCACTATTTGTATTATGTTGGCACTATGTTCTAAAGCGGGGGGGACAAAGTCCAGCCCACAGGCTGGATCAGGCCTGCAGCAGACTATTTCCCAGAAACCCTTGAGGCAACTGCTGCTGTCAGACCCAACCCTGCTGCCTGGGTACCTCAGCCCATCTACCACTTGCCCACCACCAGAGGTGGGACCTGTGCAGGCAGGGAGCATGCTTGAGTGGCTGGGATGACGCCTTGGCTAAGAGCGACATGGATGGGAGGGGTCAGGGAGACCCCAGGATCTTGGAGGGATCAGGGTTATGGCAGAACTATGATCTACTGTCCACATGCCCCTGCAACAAGCAGGAATTCCACAGACGGGGGTATGCAGGCGGTGGATTGTGGTTCTGCCCTGGCTCTAGCCCCACAGTGTCACTGCCATAAGATCCTGGCCCCAGCTCTACAGCAGCTCCCCGCTCAGTTACACACCCTGCCAGCACCACTCCCAGAGTCTCCCTGGAGCTGCTGGGAAATGGAGTCTACTCGCTGGCTGGATCCATCATTTTGCCCAAACCTGTTCTAAACAGTCACTGGATACAATGCAAAAACAATGTGGGAACTGGGACCAGTGCCCCTGGGTTCCCTTGTTCCAGTGGCAGTACCCACCTCATTGATCCACAGAGTCAGACTGCCCTTGCTTGCCCCACATATCTTTCCCTCTTGACTGACCCAGTACAGGACAACTTAGGATCTAAAATTTGCGTTAAATGCCACTCATGCATCAATCTGAGAAACAGAATAATATATGTATATGTGGATACATATTGCATAGAAGAGGATCCACCAATGCCTGTCATAAGTAGGATGACCATATGTCCTGGATTGGCTGGGACAATCCTGAATTGCAGAAGCTGTTTCAGCAACCCAGCCATTGGAGAAAATTGAAGTGAAGTCCCAGATTGGTGGGAACTTGCCCACATGTGCCTGAGTCAGGAGCTGGGCACATGTGGGTGGGTTTGAACCAATCCAAGAATTTTGTTTCAATTTTCTCCAGGAAGCCCAGCCAATGGGCTGCTCCCTGGCCTGGACCTGCTGGGCTGTGAGCAAAGTCACTTCCCCAGTAGAGAGGGTGATGGAGCCATAGAGTCATTGCATGGCCCTGTGCCTGGGAGCTGCAGACAGGGGGGAAGGGAGGAGTGGAGGGAGGTTTGTGTGCGTCTGTGTGTGCACAAGCACACGCATCCATGCAATGAGGGAGGGAGCTGCAGGGGGAGGAGGAGGGGGAGGAAAGGAGTGTTTCTTGCCCAGCCCCACTCCTGGGTGCTGTGGGCTTGGGGCTGTGTGCATAGGCCACGGAACAGGGTGGGCCACCCAGGCCATGGCCCGACCAACATTTAGTACATTAATTTAGCTAGCTATACAGTTAAAAAAATAGCTATACAGTTTTAACCAGAATGACAATTGAGCTTTTGTGGGTTATATAAAGTAACATGCTGTTCCGTGGCCTGTGTCCTGCCTGGCCCTGCTCCTGGGAGCTACAGGCTCAGGGGTGTGTGGGTGTGTTCTTGGGAGCCATGGGGTGGGGTGCCTATGTTTGTGCATGCCACACTATCCTGACTGGCCCCACCCCCTGGAGCACCCCCTGCTCTGGATTTCCTTCAAATTACTATGGTCACCCTAGTCATAGGTTTTACCCATTTCTTTTGGCTGCCTTTTTATCATTCCAGCATTTCATGCACTGTTTGAAAAGCTGCTCTCTCAATTTCTTCTTAGACACAGTCTTATGCTGCTTACCTTGACATTCACTCGGATCTAGAGAAGCTCTATGAACATAAATGTAGGATTTCAGTTTCTCTTGCTGTACTACTTGGGTATCAATTTTCAGTAACTTCTTTAGAGCCAGGACTTCATATGTAATGAATACAAAACCTCTTAAAACAAGAACACGGAATATGAATATTTTAAAAAAATATAAAGAATGATGACAAATACAGATTAAAACTATTTCAAGGTAAAATACTATTTTGGCAAATACTGTATTTACTCAATTCTATGGCAAGGACCCCCTGCCTCCCATTTAACTAGGTGAGAAAAGATCCTGGTATTAGACTCAAGTACAGTGGCAGTGCAGAGGGGCAGGCAGCTGCTATGGATGGGCTTCAATGGAAAAACTCCTACCTGGGGTTGGGGCTGTAGCCAGAGCTGCTGCCTGCCTTCTCTCCTCTCTCCACTGTCTCTGCACCCTGCTGTCTCTCCCCGCCACCTACAGCCCACAAGTCTGTTACAAGGGCTAGTCTGAGCCGGGCCCATATTCAGTGCCCCAACAAGAACAGCGATGAAGCCTGCTAGCACGGAGCAAAGGCTCTGAGGAGAGAGGGAGTGCAGAAGCGAGGGGAAGCACAGAGGTGGCACAGAGTCAGGCACAAGCAGGGAGCAGGCTGCTTGACCTCCCCATGCCACCTGCCTCTCCACTGCCTGACCCCCTTCAGCAGTGGGAGGGATGAATTAAAGACAACCCTGCAATAATTAGATTCTAGACATGGAAAATTATGACATTTATAAATGTTACGTGTCTAGAATCTAATTATTGGGGGGTCATCTTAAATTCAGGGTTGTCTTAGATTCACATATTGTATATGTTTTGCACAGATTAATACAACTTTTTCAATCAGCCCAATGGAAGAAAAATCATAGTAAATGGTACTATATAATGAAAAAACACTTTCAGATTGATTGTTTAAAATTAAAGGTATCTCATGTTCTTACTAACACCACTTTTTCTGAACTTCAGATTTAAACATCAAATAAAAATTATACATATACTTTAGACCACGGGTTGGCAACCCCCAGCATGTGTGCTGAGCATGGCACGCGAGGCCATTTTGCTCAGCATGCCACAGCCAGCCCCGGTTCTGGGTAGCTGCAGACAGCGACGGAGCCTGGGCTGCTCCCAGCAGGGCTTGCAGCATCCCAGCTGCCTGCTGGGGTCATCCCAGGCTCCCGACTGGCAGCAGCTAACCAGAGCTGGGGCCAGCTGCAGCCGGGAGGCTCCAAACCCCTGTGCCAGGCTCCGGCATCAGCACCTTACCAGTGCATGCACCCGCGCCTCGGAGTGGGCAGTGGCAGAGGGGCCTGAGGAAGCACAGCTCTGGTCTCTCTCTCGCTCAAGGTGGACGTGCACCTCAGGGTGGACAGCAGGGCAGTGCAGCCTGCCCCAAAGGTGCCCATGCAGTCGCTGCCAGCACAGAGCTGATGCCGTTCCTGTGGAGCCCAGCACAGCTCCTTGCAGCCTGCCTGCTGCTTGCTGCAGCTGCCCAAACCTGGGCTGGCTACAAACAGCTGCACCGGGCTCGAGAACCCTGCTATCACCTCTGTACTGGAAGCAGGGGAGAGACCGGAGCTGTGCTGCCTCAGGCCCCTCCCCCACCCCCCACTCCAATGCATGGGTGCACACGCCAGTATGGAGCTGATGACAGAGCCCGGCACAGCTGTTTGGAGCCTCCCAGCTGCAGCCGGCCCCAGCTTTGGGTAGCCGCTGCCAGCCAGGAGCCCTGGCTGCTCCCAGCAGGCAGCTGGGATGTTGCAAGCCCTGCTGGGAGCAGCCCGGGCTCCAGCAGCTACCCAGAGCCAGGGTAGCTGCTGACAGACACAGACCCCAAGCTGGGGGACAGGGGCACAAGCAGGGCATCCTGCCATGTACCCCTTGCCCTCATTTTGTTTTTCTGGCATACCGGCACTCTGGCACCTTCCAAGGTAGGCATTGTGGTGTTTTTCAACACTTTGGCCAAAAAGCTTTGCCTACCCCTGCTTTAAACTGTCTATATTAGATGCTTCTGCCACCAGAAAGCAGCCACCATATCACATGCAACATGGTGGCAGGGGCTTTACTACACTTGGCAGAGGCAGAGCAATACTTCTGGCAGAGCAGAGGATTCTGCAATTGCAGAGGGGTTTGGGTGCAAATGCATTCAAAGTTTGCTAATGTGGTATCTCCCTGGGCTGAACCAGCCATGCACTCAGCCATCTCAGGGCTAAGCCAGGCCCTGAGTGGCCCAGCCCCGCTTCTGGTACTTCCACTGTACAGCTGTGCTGCCAGAGCATGAAGTGCACTCTGGGAAGGCTCCAGCAATTGAATTCAACAGGGTGGCAGGGGCCTTACTATACTTGGTAGAGGTGGAGTAACACTTCTGGCAAAGCAGAGGATTGCGCCATTGTAGAGGGGTTTGGGTGTGGATGCATTCAGAGTTTGCTGGAAGACTTGGAATTGTAAAGTTAGAGAACTCTAGTATAGACTAAGCTTTAGTTAAATCTTACCCTAGAGTAAGTGATCCAGTTAACTTTGCAATTTTTCCTAAAAATAAACAAATAAACAAATAAATTGTGTGCATATAAATTGTTATAAAAAAGTTAAATCACTTGATATAATCTGAAACTTTATACAGTATCAGTAAAAATAAAATTGAAAATGAAAGAAAGTAGGCTTTTCAAACTCAGTTTTCCATTTCTGACTCTTGGTGGCCAGCAACTATAAAATATAAATGAATACTGTTTTCTATAGCTTTAAATTGCACATTCCCTGCTCCACATGTAAATAATCTGATAAACCATCAGAAATAATTATCCTCTCTTCAACACCATTCTCTCATGTCAGTGACATTCATACTTCAGTTGCAGACAATCAACAGTAAAACTACTAGCACTCAGTGTCATTAGTTTTCAACTCCTACTGTAAATTACTTTAAGGAACTGCAACTTTTAAAAGTGCAAGCTTATTGAAATTTGGTTCACTGCATACAGGAATAAATATGTTCTCAGCAAGGCATTACCATCAAGAATAATACCCTTCCTTCAGTATGAACTGGAGATTTTCCTTAGCTCCCACTGCAACTAGGCAGGTTTCTGACATGGAAAGCTACATGCTGAAGAGTAACTGGCAGGTAAAGTAGAAAAGGCAAGAAGTGCAGTCTGTTGTCTGTTAGAAATAGAAACATCTTGTCTTTTGATGCTAACATAGAGAGTTTAAGAAATCATGAGGATGTCAATTATACAGAGGCAAAGTTAGAGGGAAAGTGTAAACTGAACAGGCAGAATGTCAGGGCAATAACCAGCAGGCAGAGAGGAACAGACATGGAGGAACACATACTTTTCTGCCCCATGACGCACTGGAGATCTACCACTTCAGAGCAGACTCAATCAATTAATTGAGTCTGCTCCGAACACGAGCTAAGGAGAACCGCACTACGCTGCATGCAGTTGTATAAGCAGCAAAATGTACGTCAGCATGCAGAAAATGGCAGCAGTGCACTTTTGAACTAAAGGAAAAGTGTCTTTTAGTTCAAAAGTGCACTGCTGCCATTTTCTCAGTGCTGACGTGCATTTCGCCACTTATACAACTGTAAGTATTGCAGTGCTGGGTGCTTTTTAAGGCTCTAGTGCTGCAGTGCTTCCATGTTTAAAAATGCCTTGAGAGCCAACATTTCTTTAATTGTTATTGCCAGTTTTAAGAGCCAATGGATCAATTTGTTCCATGGTTTCAAGGAAAAAAAAAAAAAAACAAAAGAAATAGACACTGAATTTGACCAGATCTGAAATCTTCATGAGATGATAACGTTTGGAGATGGCCATCTTGTGCTCTAAAATGTATAATTTCTCTTCAAATAAATTAAGGCCCTATGATTGTGAAACTAACCTTGAAAATGTGAATCAAGCATAAACCAATGCAGGGCTGTCCGCTTGAGCAACATTAGCTACTCAAATCATATCAGTGAAGCGTTAACACTAAAACATAACAGTGGTATTTTACATATAATACTGCTTGGCAAGTTTAGTTGTAAGCATACAGAGTGACAGTGTGAAGGAGATAAACCCATATTTGCTGCCAGTCATCTCAAAGTATTAGGCTTTAGACATTTGTGGTAACATCTTTTGAAGTCTAGTATATCATTTAAATATACATCCTGCTCTGACAAAACTAGTTTTTAGGGGTTCATCAGGTTGATTACAGAACTATACTTACTGAGATCTTTCCACGGAAGGTCATTTTTGGTGGTTGGACCAGAGGTTCCTATTCTTCTACAGCACAATACACAATAAGCAGACAATGACATGCTGTGTATAAAAACAAAAGTAATTAATTTAAATAATATAACTGAAAGCTTGTAGCAATTTTTCCATCTCTTCCCCACTAAACATGGTGACAAGCATTATTTGTTTACATCAGAGGTGGGCAAAGTATGGCCCGCAGGCTGGATCCGGCCCGCAAGGCCATTCTATCTGGCCCGCAGGGCCCCTAACAAAATGTAGAAAATTAATATTTCTCTGCCCTTGGTTCCTGTCAAAAATGACAGGAACCAAGGGCAGTAGGACCCAGGGGAAGCCCGGTGGACTCCAACAACAGTGGGCCCAACCAGCCCAACAGAAGCCCCTGCCAGGGCTTCTGGCCTGGGAGCACGTGGCTTCCCTGTGACTGAGCCGCAGGTAAGGAGTAGAAGGGCAGGGGGGAAGCTTCCCCTTCCCCACCTCATGACCAGCACCCTGTGCTGCAGCTGCTCCAAGCCCGCATGGGGCTGCCTGTGCCTGCTCTGGACAGCCCTGTGCAGGCTGCGAGCGGCTGCAGCAGGGAGCACCAGCCATGGGGCAGGGGAGGACTGCTTTTCCTCCCGCACTCAGCTTTTCCCTGGGCTCCTTCCCTGCACGGAGAAAAGTAGCTGTCCCAGGCAGGCTGCAAGTGGCTGCAGCATGGGGCACTAGGCATGAGGCAGGCGAGGAGCTGCTTCCCGTCACTCGCCATGTGGCCGGTGCCCCACGCTGCAGCCACTCACAGACTGCCTGGGACTGCCTGTGCCTGCTCCAGACAGCCCCAAGTGGGCTGCGAGTGCCTGCAGCAGGGAGCGCCGGCCGTGGGGTGGGTGAGGAGCCACTTTTCCCTGCACTCAGCACCAGCTTCTTCCCTTCCGGCAAGCAGGGGTTTAGGGCTGTGCGCTGCCCCCTGGGAGGCACTGGGCGTGACTGGGCATGGAGCCAGTGGGAGCACAGGGCCTGCACTGGTGCCCCGGGGTTAGTGCCGGTGGGGCCCAGAGCAGGGTGGCCAGAGCAGGGTGGCACAGGGTCCCAGCTGGCAGGGGCTCTATGGAGCCAGGCCAGCTCCCCCCTCTCCCTGCTAGTGCAGCCCAGCCCAGCTCCACGGACCCCTGCCACCCTGCATCCTGCTTTGGGCCCCACTGGTGCTGGCCCTGAGACATTGGTCCCAAGATGGTGACCAGGGAGTGGGGCACCTGTCAAGGGGCAGGTCTACCCATGTGGCCCTCGACACCCTGCCAAAACTGGATAAGCGACCTTCTGCCTGAAATGATTGCCCACCCCTCGTTTACATGGAACACTAAATTTGCCAAATCTATGCAGCTGCATTTAGTAATTTATATTTCAATGATGATAAAAGTTTCAAGTAGTATTTTATAAAACTGTATTTTTAAGCCATTACTTCTAGAATCTCATCTAGTAAATCTCCTTCTCTGAAATGTTGGTAGCCCTTCATTAAACAACAGACATTTCTACAGACATTTATATCAATTTGTTACCCTCTATTATAGATGCATTTGTACAAGTACACAATAAACCGACTGCTTTTTCATAACATTCATGATTGATGTTTTTAAAATGGTTAATTGATTTGGTTTTAACAGCAAATAGGTATCTTTGAAAGTTTTGTCATACAAATTCAGGGAAAAACTGTTAAGAGTTATTGTCTTGCTGTTTAGAAGTTATAATCCAAGAATGCTAAAATCTATCTGACAGAAATACAGTAAACCAAGGATCGTTTGTATCTGGTTGGTTCACAACCCACTTAGTTAGCAGTATTAAAGATGTGCCACTCTGATATTTGCTGCAGCTTTTATTTTAAAGGGCACTGTTTCTCCACTCAGCTGGAGCTCATCAGTGGTCCCACACAGTTGATGAGAGAAGTGGTGCCCTTTGAAAGCTGCAGCAAACACTGAAGCACCTCAGTGGTTCCATGTAGCTGTTTGCTTCTCTTCTTCTTTTATATGTAGGAGTTAGAAGAGACATGGCTGCTAGCAAGATTAACACCTTCACTAAATATCCGCTAAAATCCACAGGTGTTTGAGGTGTTTGCTCTTTGGGTTTCTTCTGTTCTTATAACAATCCTGGGAAACATCTCAAATTAGGCTGAGTACTTTCAGTGAAAGAGAACTGGCTTTATTTGATGGAATTAGAAAAAAAAATATTCACATTCTTTTTCATACCTTAAAGCTTAAGAGGAAATCCCAGGATAAAGCATGAAGCAAGATATGTCAGAAATACTACATACTGGAGGAAGTCAGTTTTCTTTCCCTTTGAAAGTCACAAAGGGCTTAAATATGTTATTTTCTAAGAAATGCTACTTCCTTTACACATAAGTTAAGTAAGAAAAATTACCCTAAAGTCAGGAGAGAGATCATAATTTGATTTCACAGTCTCAGCAGACATTTACTTGAAGGATAAAATTAACCTCCCTAATGAAAACAACTCCAAGATGTTCATCAACAGTTACAAAATGTCAATACCCCAGAAAAAAAAAATAGACGATACTATTTGAGTAAGTATGGAGTAACACTAGGGTCCTAGACAGTCTGATTTAGGACTATATCCAATAAAGTATTTCCATATGTCAATTAAGAATCACATTTAACTTTTAGGTGTCTGGTCTACAGAGGTATCAGAGCTCTGTGTCAGGTCCCTATGCTCTCTCCCCATGCACTATATAGAGTAGGCTTGTTCAACATACGGCCCGCCAAGCCATTTTATGCAGCCTGCAGCAACACTGCCATGGAGCCACTGCGGAGCCGCCACCGGTCGCGGAGCCGCCACCAGGCAAAGAGCTGCTGCAGAGCTAGTCCAGGGCTGTTCAGATCTGGTGAGGCTGTGGGCCCCAGATAACACCAGCATGTGTTGCACAGGCTGCACGCTGTGGGGGTGGGCCCCTAAAACCCCCTCACTGCACGGGCTGCTCCAGCAGCATGCAGACCCCCATCCTCAGCCATGCAGGCTACATTTGCAGGACATGGACCACTACCCCCCCCAGGCCTTTCCCCCTTGCACAGCAGTGGGAGAGGTGGCTGCCCAGGCCCATGCCCCTATATATTAACTGCTTGCAGACCCCATGTAAACTGTGGGTGACATCCTGGCCCTTTGTGGGCCACATGTGGCCTGCAGGTAGTCAGCTGAGGAGCCCTAATCTAGTCCAACTCCCTGCACAGAAAAATGATGTCCTGTTCCTAAGCTATACCAAACGTACATACTTTCTAAAAACCACAACTTCCCTAGGCACATTTCCAGACACATTTCCTTGTCACTTCCTGTAACTTCACTGGTGTCGAAGGTCACGTGACATCACTTCCTGATGTGACCACTTCCTGTGAGGTCTTTGAATATGACTCGCCAGCCCACTGAATGATAAAAAGTTCATGATCTGGCCCCACAATCAAAAAGGTTGGACACCTGGTATAGTTAAGTGTTTCAGAAGAGCAACTGAAAAAAACCCACACACTAAGTGGAAAGCCACCTGGAGCTTGCCAACAAAAAATGCAAAGAGTAAGGTACATCTAAACTCTCATCCCTCTCCAGAGCTTAAGTGCCTGACAAAGGGCTGCTGTGTCATCTCTACCTACATGAGACTAAGAGCCTTGAATACTTCCCAGGAGGGCAAGCACCCACAACCTCTTTCCAATAACTAAATGAGGTTCACTGTTGTCTCTTAAAATGCAGATAGATAGCCCCCTCCTCTTCTTCCTTCTCCCATTCATAGTGATACTCACCTTTCATGCAACAGCCAGGCTTGGCAAGGTGTAAACACTCTCCACTTCTCCTGCTGAAGCTGTGCCACTGTGAAGCAAATAACATGAGGATTTATGAGGCTAAAGCAAGACAGAGTGAAAGACAGAAAGCAAGAGTGCACATGCACAAGCAAGAAGGAACTTGACTCTAATCAGCGGGGTACCGCCCTTATTCAGGAGTGGGCAGTCAGAGTGTGAGGTGTGTTCTGAGAACACATATTTTATAGGACCCTTTAGGAACTTGGGCGGAAGAATGCCTAGATCTTGGATCTTGAGCAGGCTTGGGCCTGCTCAGACTGGAACAATTCCAGGCAGCTTGGGAATTTTTTAATCAAGCAGGGAAGCCCCTAATGATTTGAAGCATCAGCATGGCTAGGTGTCACTTAAGCAAGGCCTTTTTAGGCAAGAGCTTAAGGCACCTCAAACGACTTAAGACAGGTGGGTAAAATATGGCTCCTGGGCCAGATCCAGCCCACCAGGGGGGCACCCACCAATTAACCGCACCTGGCCTGGCCCACAGCTCCTCCTGCTGTACTCCACATGGGGCTGAGCTCTGCCCACTCCTACCCAGACAGCATGCTGCACTTTCACCCATGCCCACAGGAGGCCCCTGCCAACACATGTAGCTTCTAAATAGGGCTGCTGCTGCTACTACTGCAGCCGTTCAGGGAACTGCTCAGCTCCCCTGGCCTCCAGCAGCTCCTTCTCCTGTCACTGCTGCAAAACTCTGGACAGCAGGTAGGGAAATGGTGGCAGGCAGGGGGAAGGTGCAGTTGTGGGAGCCTGGAGTGCGGGGTCAGGGCTGGTGGGAGTGGAGAGACCAGAGTGTGGAGCCTGGGCTAGTGGGAGTGCAGGGCCAACCCAGTTTCATCGCGCAGGGCTTCCTGTGGCTCACATGCAGCTCCCAGGACTCAGCTGGAACCACATGCCACTGGGGGGAGCTCCCAGGAAGAGAGCCCCATGTGGTGGAGCCATGCCAGCTCAGCTCCGCTCCCAGGACTCTGCCAGGGAGCCAAGGACCTGCATGTGGTGGCAGGGAGTGGAGCCAGGCCGTTGGCTCCACACACCCCACACCCTACAAAAACACACATACACCCCACACACTCCCCCCAAAAATATACAAGAGTAAGAATTTATTTTGGGCTATTGTGCAATCACCTCTACATACACTATTCAAACACATATTAAACTAGACAAAACTACTTTTTGAAATAAAATTAGAATATTTTTTGGGTTTTAGTATATGATTAGGTTTTCTTCTAGTTCCAAGATGGTAACTCCCCCTACCCTGCCCCCCAATCCCCTGCTCCCCTCCCAAAAGGAGTACTTACAGGGGCAAGTGGAGGGACTTCAGGAAGCAAAGATCATGGAGGTCAGGGGCAGGATTTCTGGTCCCAAGATGGTGATCAGGGGGCAGGGCACCTTTCAAGGGGCATAGCTACCCTTGCGGCCCTTGACAAGTCACCGAAACTCATTAAAATTGCCCTCCAGGTAAAATATTGCCCACCCCGACCTAAGACCTGCTTGAGGCACTTAAGACCTTTATAGAATCTGGTCCTTAGTCATATTCACACACAGATTCAAGGAGAGACCGCTTTGAATGGGGCTGAACAAATAAATGTAGTAGTCAAAAAATGTATTTAAAGCTAAAGTTAAGATCATACTTGTCCAATATGTAACAGGAATATTAAAGTTAAACAAATACACATTCACAATATCAGAAAACTGAGCTAAGGTTAGAGTTTTCAAAGAAGACAGTTCAAGCAATAGAAGTGGAAGGTTAAATGAGGGCTTGGGGGGTTTTATGGTTTACCTTTGTACGATATGCAATCTAAAAATTCTAACCAAAAATCAAAAATTGTTGTGGGAGAACTCTATATGCACATATGAGAGGTATAAATGTAAATGAAGATATGGCACATCTTACTTCAAGAACCACTGACAAGACTTAAGAAATTCTTATTTGAGGGAAACACCTGGGATGAATCTTAAAAGGCAAAAACTACAGGTAACCTCCTACAAGACATATATTCTTAACGAGGATTAGAAGAAATTGATTAAAGTCTAGGACAGAAAATGCATTGTCACATATGTATATTATACAGCACTGTCTGGTAGCATGAATGTCTATTTGTGAAAGCCTGAATTTTGGAAATCAAGAGTCTAACTGAATCTCTTTTCTCACGTACGCAGGACCATTGTTCGACTATGGGCATGTCCACACATGCATTAATGCATCTTTTCTAATGTGCATTAAATATAGTACCTCCAGTGTGAGGTTCTAAATTAATGCACATTAGGTGCAGTAGCCCATTTGCACACTTTAGTGCACAGTAGACTATTTTAATACTCATTAGCATAGCGTCATGGTTTTTTACATGATGCCTTAATGCACAGTAAAATAGTCTACTGTGTATTAAAGTGCATGTGTAGACGTGCTCTGAGTTAGAAAGAAGGCAGGTCACAGTGAAGAGGAAAGGAGAGCACACCTTGACTGCTCTGACACAGAGGGAGATTTATTCTGCACATGGGACAGGGCTGATGCAGATTACTTTCTTGTTTGAAGAAAGGGGAAACCAAAGAAGGATCTATGACTCTGCACCACACAACTTGTCTTCTGAGCTGCTCAGAAGGGTACAGATACTTGTAGGGTAAGTGACCATCACTCATTGCATGCCTTAACATAGCATGTACAATTTGAATTATAACCAGGCATAAACTCCTCTGTGAACAACATAAGAAAAGATGCCATCATCAAGTAATGGAAACACACTCCTATTTTTTTTTTTTTACTGCAACAGTAATCACATTTTATATATTACACGGAGAGCTTTATGGCAAATCTTAAAACATGCTTAAAGTGTTTCCAGCATATTTTGAATACATTTTTTCTGGTAGAAGGATGGATCGTAGGAGAATATTTTAGGCAGGCTTTAACTATTGATACATCGATAATACATGTTGATGATAATCTTAAAATAGAAACAAAGACAAAAAAGTATAAAAATATGCCCCTGTGCGTGCTGCAGTAATAATATGCAAGTATTATTTTTCTGATGCAACAAAATCATCAGATACTTGCACTGAATAAGTTACATAGACTTCATTATCAATTCATTTAAGATATTACATTAGTTATAAAACTCAAGTCACTTCAGCCATGTCATATATTTAACAAATATATAATTATGGTAGGAAGATATAAGTAAAATTAAGACACCATATCACAAAAACTACAACTCAAAATGATAATCTAAAGGAGGCAGCGGCAATTAGGGACAGTCGGCATAGATTCACCAAGAGCAAATCATGCCTGACCAACCTGATTGCCTCCTATGAGGAGGTAATTGGCTCTATGGAGGCAGGAAGAGCAGTGAATGTGATATCCTTGACTTCAGTAAGGCTTTTGATATGTTCTCCCACAACATTCTCGCAAGCAAGCTAAGGAAGTATGGGCTGGATGAATATACGGTAAGATGGATAGAAAACTGGCTGGATCATTAGACTCAGGGGGTAGTAATCAACAGCTCTACGTCCAACTGGTAGCCAGTATCATGTGGAGTGTCCCAGGGGTTGGTCCTGGGGCCGTTTTTGTTCAATATTTTCATCAGTGACCTGGATGATGGGATCAAGGGCGACTTCAGCAAGCTTACAGATGACACCAAACTGGGCGGAGTGGAAGATGCATTGGAGGGTAGGGCTAGGATTTAGAGAGACCTTGAGAAATTGGAGGACTAAACCAGAAGAAAACTCATGAGGTTCAGTAAGGGCAAGTACAAAGTCCCGCACTTAGAATAGAATAATTCCATGCACTGGTACAGGCTGGGGACTGACTGGCTAAGCAGCAGCTTTGCAGAAAAGGACTTGAGGGCTACAGCTGAATATAAGCTGAATATGAGCCAACTGTGTGCATTTGTTGCAAAAAAAGCTGACAGCATAATGGGCTGCATTGGTAGGAATGTTGCCAGTAGACTGAAGAAAGTAAGTAGTCCATTCTATTGGGCACTGGTGAGACCACGTCTGGAGTACTATGTGCAGTTTTTGGACCCCCCACTACAGAAAGGATGTGGACAAACTGGAGAGCCCAGTGGAGGGCAAAAAAAAGCAAGGGGGCTGGGGCACATGACTTTGAGGAGAGGCTGAGGGAACTGGTCTTATTTAGTCTGGAAAAGACTGATGGGGGATTTAATAGCAGCCTTCAACTACCTAAAGGGTAGTTTCAAAGAGGATGGAGCTAGATTATTCTCAGTAGTGGCAGATGACAGAACAAGCAGCAATGGTCTCAAGTTTCAGCAAAGAAAGTTTAGGTGAGATGTTAGGAAAAACTCTCTCACAAGGAGGGTAGCAAAGCACTGGAACAGATTATCCAGAGAGGCTGTGGAGTCTCCATCCTTAAAGGTTTTGAAGACCTGGCTAGACAAAACCTTGGCTAGGATGATATAGGTGAGGATGGTCCTGCTTTGAGCAAGGGATTGGAGTAGAAGACCTTCTGAGATCCCTTCCAACTCTAACTTTTTATGATTCTATGAATACTAGCATGCATGGTAATTATGTCTAGGACAGTGGTTCCCAACCTTTCTATACTGCAGACCAGTGGGGGTGGGATGGGATGCACAGAGCTGGCTGCCTCCCTCCTGGGCCTCCCCATTGCCAAGCTTTATCCCCGCACATGACTGCCAGCAGCAGAAGCCGCTCGCCTGGGCAGACAAGTGGGAGTCACGGCCCAGCAGCCAATCCTTTCCAGCCCAGTACTGGGCTGCAGTCCAGTGGTTGGGAACCTCTGATCTAGGACATACCTTTCCAGGTTACTTACAAGACCGACATGTTCAAATATTTACATTCACCATTTTTACCTTATGATCCAAATCAAGTTATCCTGTAAAAGGAGCAAAGATGTGGCATGATTTGCTCTTAACAAATCCATGTCATCTGTCAGTGATCAATATGCGCATAAAACAGTCAACTTGTTAGTAACTTCTTTGGCACTGATGTCAGGCTGATTGATCTTATACCTTGCTGGGTCCTTTTCTTTCCCCTTTTAAAAATGGGCAGTACAGTATGTAAGCCTTACCAGCTGTCTGGGACCTTGCCTGCCATCCATGATCTTGATCTATTATTGCCTATAGCTCTGAGATTTTTTCAGTGAGATCCTTCAGTACCCTTGGTTAAATACTGCACAGCCTCCTGACTTAAATTCAAATTAGTCAAAAATTCTTCTACTATATTATTTGCTTAACATGACCTGCATCTCTTTTCTTCATTTATTATATTAATTCTGCTAGTCATAGGCACATATTTGGGGGGGTTTTCTTCGGGTTGGTTGTTTTTGGAGTGGGGGTATTTTTGTTTGTTTTTTCTCTTGTGAAGGCATTGGACAGTTCCACCGTCTTTGAATTTTCAATTAATAGTTTACATTCTTTGAGTAATAGACCCACAGGCTTCTTGGTCTTTCTGTTTTTTAGTTTTTCCTTGTCTGATGTATGTGTAGAAATCTCTCTTGTTGTCTTTAACATTTCTTGCCAGTTGTTAGAAACTTTGGCCATTTTTTGCCTTCAATTTTCCCCATGTTTGTCATTACCTGTCCACCTCTACAGAGGCATGCTTTTCTTCCCATTGCCGATATGCATCAGTTTAGATCTACAGTGGCAGCCAGTGCAGCAACACTGGTCGCTTATGGCTCTTGTTATCTTCTTTTTGCATGGGAATAGTCCAATGCTGAGCCTCCAAAATTATGTCCTTTATCTTTTAATTTGCCTATTCATTGTAGCTTACCTACTACTTCTAAAACATGGTTCAAATGAACCTTTTGGAAGTCCAGCATCCTTGTTTTTCTGCTGTCCTTCCTTCCTTTCTTTAAGATAATTCTATGGTATCAGGATCACTTCTTCCAAAGAAGACTAAAACAAATTAGGTGCTACTGTAGACAGCTTGCTAGCAATGGTCACTATTTCAGCAACATGATGCACTTCTTACCACCCATCTTCCTCTACAAAGGGACACAACACAAGGAAAAATGCTGACCATGTCAATAATTGGTCCCTTTGAGGGACTTTTGCTTTCCATTTTCTTTTGTTTAAAATAAAGAAAGAAAAAGCAGCACCCAAATCAAAGACAGATTCTTCACCTTCCTTCATACATTCATAATAACCAAAGGCAAAACACACTACTTGAGCAGTTAAGAAAAAATATGCACTGCAGCCTGAAAGCAGTTGCCTTTCCTTTCATCTCTAGAGAACCGTCCCAGTTAATGGTACAATCCTCGCTTCAGAAAGTTTTTTTTTTATACCACTTAATCACAGAGTGTAATTGCAGCAAGCACAGTAGATCTGTGACTGTGCAACAGAAGCCACTGCAATTCCCTACACTCCTCACACGGTTTATTTGGAAACACAAAGCCGAAGTGACTAGTGTTTCTCTGCAATTAATGGGCTTTGGATTAGACCCCTGAGGAGCAGCACTGCATGGAAATCCAGGGCAGGAATGGGTAGGTTAATCTGGGCAGGGGACCAGTTCTGCCTCCACCTGCAAGAAGCATTGTTAGCATGCTGGGTTTTTGGTTGTAGCTGTATAGGTCTAAGGACATAGGCATCTAAGGTTTTTTGAGTAGATGTGGTATCTTTTATTAGACCAACTGAGTAGTTGGAAAACAGTTCTTAGAAAGCTTTTGAGCGCAATCACCCTTCTTCAGGCATAGGACTTCCTAGTTCTTCGCTAGTCTGAAAGCTTGCTAAAAACTTTTTTCGAACTACTCAGTTGGTCTAATAAAAGATAACACATCTATTCAAAACCACCTTTCCTTGTTAGCATACTGCATTTTTTCCACCATCGGATTCAGAGAGCAGTTAAAATTTAGGATGTCGTGTCATTATCCTGACCTTGCCAGCCTCCCATTGACATCAGGGGAACTGGAAATGACAGCACCACACAAGTGGCATAGGGCTACATTCATCTCGGGCTGAACTTGCTCACAAGGCAGCAGCCCAAAAGATGAGGACAGCCCCGTCCACTCTGACTTCTGAAGAGTCAAAGGGGATTTAAAAAGCCCAAGCCAGGCTTCTTCGTATTTTTATGAAGGAATCCATAACATGTTGAAAATTAACATATTTTCTCCCCTACAACGCATCTCTTCTCCTGCAAAAATCAGCCCCTCAGAACTGGGAGCATATATTTAGCAGGTAAGGTGACCTTTCTGTTCAGCATAGAAGCACCCCACTTCACCTGCGGCTCCACCTCCATGCCAGTACTCCCCCTTTTCTGGCAGCTAAGGGACATTGGCTCCAATGGCTCACTGCTCTTCACTCCATCAGGATTACAAGCTGTTTGACACTCCACTAATCAAGGGCAAGGTTGCTGCCTGCTCCTGGGCTCGCCTCCTATTTCAGCTTGGAAGCAGGCAGGAAAGCAAGGGGAGGCCCAGTCAACCTAAGGCTGCAAATTATATATTTTACCCCCTTTCAAGATGCCTTCCCAAAACAAAGGGCGTCTTATATACTGCACGCATGTAGTACGAGGAGATACGGTAGAAGGCAAGGTGAGAATAATCAGCGGTTAACGAACTCAAACGACCGGTGAACGCCGGCGACACGTGACGCAAAGTTACGCGCCGGGGAGGAGGAGGACTCGCGCAGGCAGAGAAATAGCGTCACTCACGACAGAGTCCACTCTCGGGGGTGGGTTTCATCCCTAAAGGGGGACTTGGAAACCCTAGGCCCTGCCCGGACTCCTCCCCCTCCCCCTCAGGCTCCGCCCTCCGGCCGTGCCCACGCCGTACCTGCCCCGCAAGCCGCAGCCGCGAACACTGCCTTCTTTCTTGCCCTACTTCCGGGAGGTCGACGTGTTCGATGACGTTAGCCGAGCGTCTCATCCAACCCGGGGTGAGCGCGGAGGAAGTGAGTGGGGGAGGAGTTGAGGTTACGCATGCGCGTGGGTCGCAGGGAGAATTTGCTTTCTATGTGGGAGCCGAGCGGCGGAGGCGGCGGCCGGGGTTCTGTTGTCGTTAGGGGAACCAACGGCCGGTAGGCGGGGGAAGGGCAGAGCCAGGCTCCGCAACCGCCACTCGTCACGTGGTGGGCGCGAAGGGAGGGGGGTGGTGCCAGTCCTGCTTCTCCTCAGGCGCGGAGGAGCCTGGTTCCGGCTGGGGCCTAGTCCCCTTGGCGACACAGGGGTTTCAGTACACACGTGTGTACAGCCCCATACATAGACACGCGCTCAAGCCAAATGCAGGCACGTGCATGCACACTGCTGCGTATCCTCATGTCTAGACAGGTGCACTCGCACATGCATATCTGCAGCCGTGTGTAGATGGACACGTGTGCACACAGACATGAATGTAGCTGTATGTACAGGCTGGTGTGTGCCCATACATGTCAAAGCACATGTATAGACACACGCATGTGTGCATTTGTATATGCATGTGTACAGAGATGATTGAGCAGGGTGCAGGACCCAGGGCAAATCAGCCTGGGCAGGGCCCTGGCCCTGGATGCAAGAAAACTGGTGGCAGATTCTGGGGGAGGGGGTGCCAAGTGGCCAGACATGAAGCCAGGGGCAGCGAGGAGTTGCTGTGGCTGCTCCTCCCGGCTCTGCAGGGCCCAGGGTGGTTGCCCCGATTTGCTCCCCCTAGGGATGGCCTTGCATGTGTATAGATAGATACGTGCACACATACAGATGTATATCCTTGTGTATAGACAGGCACACGCACGCGCAGGGCCGTCCCTAGTGGGGAGCGAATCGGGGCAACTGCCCCAGGCCCTGTGCTTTGGGGGACCTGGGCGGAGTGGCCATGCTGATTCCACACTGTCACCGGCTTCACGTCCCGTCATGGCCCCATGCCCCCTCCCCCACCGCCAAATCCTCTGTTGGCTTCCTGGCGTCTGGGGGCAGGGCCCTGTACCCTGCTCAAGTCGTCTCTGCATACACGTGCGTGTGTATATCCAGAAACACAGGTGCATGCATGCATGCATGTGTATATTCACATAGATGCACCATGTATGTATACATCCACAGATAAATACACACATGTACATATGTATCTATTCACAGGCAGACCTACATGCATGCACACGCTTATTTAGCTTCTAGTGATGGGTGTCATTTGTACCCTAAAGCTTGTGCCATATCTCTCCCACCTGCCCTGTTGGGGTACTAAAAGTGGTCACCAAAAACTGCCATCACCACGGTTTTTTCCATGTTTACTGAGCATCATTGTGGCTCCAGTAAGGCTCCAGCCCTTTTTTGATCCTGGCAGTTCTCAGCCAACAGTGTGAGCTAGATTTAATTAAGTTAGGTCTTTGCTTGCTTTTTGTGTATATGGTTCATCACAGGATGGCCTGGGCATGTGCCAGTGCAAACTCTGAATGCCCACTTTGGTCAGTAAAGAAGTCGGTAGTGTAACGTGGAGTGGACAAGCAGGGCACCTGTGCCCACAAGGACTGTTTGCCTCCGTCTCTGCTGCCTGCCAGCTTCCGGCCTCATTTCCGGCCTCTGATATACATTGCTAGTGCTGGAAATGGGAATCATAGTTTTGTAGAGCTGATCTCCATTTTTTTCTGACAAATTCAGCCTTCTTTCTTGCTCTCTGGACATAGGCTTTGGAGGCAAAAAATGGTCTGAAAGTTTCTCCTGGGAGCAGCAAACTCCACTGCCAGTCTGAAGAACTGTTATTCCCAGAACACCATGTACTCTGTGACACTGTTGGCTTTGAATTTAAGACCCAGAGGCCTTGGTCGGGGGAGAGGGGGTGAGCACCCTAAGACCAACCACAACCTTTCAATAATAAGAAAATTTATTGATACACAGTGATAATGGAAAAGGACCAATACAGCATTCAAGGAATTCTATACATCTGCCTAATCTTAGTGCTTTCATCAAAGTACATATAGCCAAGACGCAGCCTCCATTCTGATGCTCTCTCTTAGGTGTCCTATGTCAGCAGTCTGGAGGTGGGATGCTGAGGCCTATGCCCCACCTTTAGTGGGGTGGATGAGACGGGCTGGTGGTGTGCCCTCTGTCCATGGTGGCCTGGGTGACCCTTCCTGGGAGACAGGGAGGAAGGACCTGGGGTAGGACAGGAAGGAAACCCTTTGTTACTCTCAAGTCTCTGCTTTTATATTCTCCTTTCCTCCTGATGACTCTTCATCCATGGGTATCACTGACTGGTCTCTCTCTGTGGTCACACATCCACGTAGCTTTCTGGGCCTTCTCCTAATTTGGTTTGTTTCCCCAAAACTGGGACCCAGGCTTCCCTGCTCTGGGGCATTGTTAGCTGGTGCCTCTTTAGCTTGTGTTATGGGAAGTGTAGTACATGCTCCCTCTGTTCCCAGATTGTTTTCCAAACTATGGGTTCTTGTTGGCCTTGTTGTGTTAGACAGCCTGTCTACTTGCAAGGCTGTGTGACCCAGATTCTTAGAAATCAGTTAACCCCTGCTGCCTATCTTGAACCTTTCTAATATACCTGTAAGCCAATTCCCAAAAAACAAACCTTTAAATACTATATCTAAGCCAACAGACACTGCCTAGCTCTCTGCTCTGTTTTCCATCTGCAACTGAGAAGGTAGGAGAGGAGGTGGGGAGAGGGTGAAAGACAGCTGCTCAAGGTGTATTTTTTCCATGATATTCCTTTGGAAAATGTTATAGCCTGACTTTTTTGGTTTGGTCTGTTTAGGTTTTCACCAATATCACACAGATTCCAGAGCCAGACCTGCCTTCATCGCCTGCCCCTTCTGGCCTTTGTAAAGTGGTGAGAAGATGGTGAATGTCCTGAAAGGCGTTCTTATAGAATGGTTAGTTGTCAGGTGTACTTATTTTTCTTTTATTATTAGTAGAAATAACACTAAAGTTTAAAATATTTCAGAACCCATGGACACTTCAGTTCCTGCTCCAGGGATGCCATCATAATTAAGATGTGGAATAACAAGCAGACGCAAGAAAATATAAAATCATGGGACGGAGAAAGAAAAGCATATGTTACACAAGAGTGTTTTCATTGCTTTTCCATCTCTTTGCCTTCTCCTTACACTTGCTTATTTTCTGTTTTTGTTCTCGATGCCCTTTGCAAATAACAATACAGACTAGAGGTGATTGGTTGTCTTATTGATTGTATCTAGGTGATACATTCTGTTCACTGGGTCTGCGGGCCATATGTGCTCTTTGTTTACCCTTTCTTCTTTTCTTCCCCTCCTCCTTTCCCCAGGTAGACATCTTTCTCGAGCCATAGTGGTATGCAATTTTAACTGTAGCTTGTAATCTAGAAAAATGGGTTTAATTAGTATGCAAACAATACATTGTTGCTTGTAAACAGCCAGTATGCTGCACATAATCTAAACAGTTCCCCTTAAATTAGTGATTAAGGTTCAAGTCCTCAAAATTCATTGAGCTCAAATCAAGATTTTTGTGGTATCAGCTTGTATGAGCCTGGTGGTGGCCAGGCATATGTTTTATCATGTGTTCTGCTAGAACAGCCTGAAACAGCCACAAGAATCAGAAGCGTTCTAGTGTGGTCCATTCTGAGCCCCCAGGGTTTTGTGACTCAAGTCCACAGCGATGAGGTATGAAGTGGCCACAGCACATTTAAACATTTGTCTTGGGATCATTTAAAATAGACATGGTCTTCTTGTGGATTTAGACTTCCAGAATTTGCAGTCTCTTGAGCGGAACTGTAAGTGACCACTTTGATGGTCACTCAATTTAGCTGTGATTCTGAGTCAGGGAAGGCCTTGTCTTCTTTACAAATCTTGATCATCAGACAGTTGCCTGCACTCCCAGCCCACCAGTATGTGTGCGCCCATCCATGCACTTTTGGTGGCTCGACATGGCTTGGTTCAGCTGCTGTCCTGACAGAATGCAAGGTGCACTCTGGGAAGGTACCAGTTGCTGAAGGGACCTTAGAAAAAGGCACAGGAGATTCTACATAAATTTCCTGCTGGGCACTGGCAGAGTCCTTCATCCACTCAACGGAACTGTGGGGGTTTACTACTGCAGAGGTGCTTTGGGTATTGGTGCACTCCAAGATTTTCTGGCAGATCAGCCAGAAAAGTGTAGAGTTGGCCCAAATGCTGCCTTTGGGAGAAAAAATAGTAATATTTTGTTAAATTAAATATGGTAATCAGAATTGGGGTAGCCGTGTGTGAAGAATCTTTGCTTATACTTTAACTACCATCGAACCTACTATGCTATGTTAAAGAATACCTTTAGGCCAGTTCATGTAATTATTCCAGTCATTGCTGTGCTCTTACTTTAACAGTTTTTGGTGACATTTAGCATTGTTTTTGTTTTGCATAAAATCATTAGCTTTGCTTCAGTTCTCTCCACTGATCATTTTCCTCAGGAGTAAAAAAAGCCTGAGCAGTAGAAACAAATAGGAAGGGCAAAATGAAAGGAAAGAAATGTGGGTGGGTGTTTGGAAGATCTAGTAGAGGAGGATCTTTCAATGTACATACAATGATGCTCCCTATAGTATAGTTATTTTTGCTTTCAAGCAAGTCAAGCAGAGTCTGTTCTAGTTTTTGTAAAAAATAAGGCAAATGTCAGAGGGAGAAAGTGGAAGTTTCTGACACATATAATTAAGTCATATCGAGCTATTATGATAATTTATGCCAAAATATTTAGTCTCAACTGACAGGATTTGACAAGAATTTTCAAAGTCCCAGATAAAAGGGAGACACTTTACATTTGCTAGTTACCTTAGTCTCACTTTTGTTCCAGGGTCAACTTAATATTAGTATGATTCCATCTGTGCTCTTAGAACTGAGAGTAGCATTGCAGTTGAGAGTAACATTGGTCTGTACTCCACCCCACGACATGCTCATTTCCAGGCTTCCAGTACCTCACACCTCT